AACTTATTAAAATTATTATTTATTAACATTATAACTTATTTAAATTATAAATTAATTTTATTTATTTAAATAATAATTAACTAATTTTATTTAAATATTACATTTATTTTTTATTTTTTAAAAACTTTAAATTCTTTTTTTTTTTAAATCAATTTATTAAAAATGTAAAAAAAAAAAAATAATAAGAGAAGACTGTTCTAAATTCGGCTCTCCTAAAATCGAATTATAACAAGTATCAGGATGTTGTTGACCGCCATTATAACCAATCAGAATTCAATTTTCCAAGGACCAAATTCTGAACCGTACAATAAATGGTTTCAGCTTGGTAAATAAAAGGGAGGGGGTCCATTTTTGTAAAAAAGAAAAATTTAAAATATATTCCGGTAAAAAATTCGTATCTTAAACATGTAATATGAAAATATTAAAACTTAGAAAATATCTAAATTTTCAAAACACGCTTTTTGACCAATTTTTTTTTATACTTTTAATATGATGACCATTTTTTTCTCTCTTATCGTGTACTTGAAAAAGACATAAAAAGTCGCGATAAATATATATTAAAAATTAAAAATCTCAATAAATAACATTAACAATATTTTATTGTGTAAAACTTTCACTTTTAATTTTAATGTCTTAAGAATACTCATTACCATTTACCTTTTCCAAAATAACTCTAGCATATGATCAGTAATTAAGAACTCTTCCATTCAGCGAAACAGTTTTTGCTTTAAATTAATATCTTTCCTTTTATACACGTAATAAAACTATTTTATTAAAAAATTTTGTATTTTAAACAAAGAGCAAATAAAATTAACTTTAGTTTCTATGAAATAAGTGAATTTTAATTTTTTTTTTCTGAAAAAAAATTCTTTAATTTTCTCTTTCTATAAACATTATTTTTTATCATTCTGAAATGAATAATTTTAATTTTGATCTCTATAAAATATTTTTGTTCATCCCTCTCAAATTTAAAACTACTATTTTTTTAGCACTAATGATTATTTAAAATTAGATAAATAAAAGTTATTTTAAATATTTATGAGTTTTTCTAAGTGTCAAACACTTGTATGATATTACAAATAATCATGATTAACACTTAAGATAATTAATTGATTTTTTTAATAAATAAGAAATAGATAAAAGAATAATCACATAAAAAATAAGGATTAAAAACAATAATTCTAATTTTAGAAAGATAAAAAATAAAAATAAAAATCTGCAAGAAACAAAATCAAAAGTAGCCAATTTTACAAAAATTAGAAATATAATTAAATCAATAATATTTCCGCCAAAATTTAGAAAGAAAAAAATGAAAATAACATGATTTTACTTGCACTAAAATTATTAATGAACTCCTGTAAAAGCATATTTTCCCCACTTCCTCTCACAATTCTAGACATTGACAATTTGAATGTTAAAAGCAATTCATGAATCTAACAACCAAAAAGATCCATTTCATTTTTGCTCATCTTCTCCACTGTAGTTAATCTTGGAAAAGTTGATGGTGCTATTCGATCAATGTCTATTTTTTTAGATTTAATAGTATACTCGAGTCAAATAGAATAATATAAGGAGTAAAACACTCCATCAAAATACTTAACTCAAACATCATAGCTCAAATTCAAAATCACTGATTAAACACAGATACTCTTATATTATGTCCACTGATCCATAACCAAGTGGTTCTACTTTGTTTTTAATCACATGAAACAAAGACGTCTATACAAACAAAATGCAATCCTCCGAATAGCTTGTAATACATAGCTAATCCAGAAAACAGAAGGCACGTTTAGTATATTACAAATAAAACAATGTCACAAGAGTTTGGTTCTACTTTGTTTACTTATTTATATCTGCTAGGAACTGCACATAACTTCAAAGAGAAACAATATAGCTACAAACACTCAGTGAGATGTATACATACAAAATGCGATCCTCCCAATAGCTTATAATACATGGCTACTCCAGAAAACTGGAAGGCACGTTAGTATTACAAATAAAACAATGTCACATAGTTTAGTCTACTTTTGTTTTCTTATGTATCTGCTATAAACTGCACATAACTTAAGACACATGACAAAATAACACAGCTACAAACAATAACTAATTACAACCCAAATGGCGACACACTTGTCCTTTGCTCTGTTAACAGTTAATTCCACACTCCTCAACA